GTAGAGTCGACTACGAACAAAAAGCTTCCGAAGGGTGTTTGGAGGTATTTCGACAATCCGTATGTCGTCTTGAAGACCACACCGACGAACAATGGATCGGAAGATTTACTCACTTCCTCAGAAATGAAAGGCAAACAAAAAGTCGCCTTGTCAGATTGTGTTCTTTCCCGGACTGTCGGTGGAGAGAAATACATTCGTCGTATTGACCCCGAGCACGGGTATCCGCTCAACGAGGCAATGCTCTGAGCCATGCGTAAAGACTCCTTCTTCAGCTCAGCATAGGAAGAAACTATACTTGCGACTCTAAGCATATTACTGACCACTGCCTGTTTGGTTTTTATGGGGTGCGCCGATTGGGAGTGGACAATTATGTTCTTGCAGCCTGGCTTGCGGTACCATTTTTTGCTATGCCCCGTATTACCTGGACTTGGATCTTCAAAAATGGCAGCCAGTCTTCCACAGGCTTTTCCCGTGTAAACTTAATGTTTTGTGGCTGCCTGTTCAGGCATCGTAGCAAATGTCTACTTCTTCCTGAGTCGAACATATAGTAAGACAGTCATCAATGTAACGGTAATATAGGATTGGGCCAAGGCCCAGAATTGGCTTCTCGATTTTCGACATGAATGCTATGGCCAACACAGGAGCTAAACTTTGCCCCATAACTAGACCACGCAACTGCTTATTGGCGTTTGAACCCAATATCGCGGCGCGAAAGACCCTGGAAGCGTTTTGGATTACAGCTGAAGAGCCTATTATGAACAGGACAGAGGAGTGTGTAGCTATAACCCGCGAACTCGCACCCTTCCTTGACCTGTGTAACCTTTGATATACGATGAGGTCAGTGGGAGGTGCTACTGGTACTTTAAAGCAACAGTTATTGCGAGGGTGGTCGTCCTACTGTTTTAGCGGCGGACTCCAAGGTGGGCAATGCATGCCTTATTCGATCGATACTTTTGGAGGTTTGCTGGTCTTTTTGAAGTTTTGTTGGAGTTTTGTTAAGGCTTTTGGGCGAGCATGTCACCCAAATACTTTGCACTGTTTCAGGCCCTGACGAAGGCAAAGCAGCCGAAACGTTGGCCAAATAAATTGTTCAATCTTGAGAGGCTGAAGAGTATCACAGTTGCTTCATATCATGCCAAGATTGGAAGAAAATCGATCATGGACGATTTCGAAGGAAACACCCTCCAGCGTGTTTTATATACAGCTGTTTACATATTTGATTCAATAACAATCATCCTAGTTCAACCTCTTTCCTACGGAACTCTCTATAAACAACGGTAATGTCTCGTACAGAAAGCTCCAACGGGTCGCATAAGGAAATTACAATTTAGTCATATTTTTACTATAGATCACTCTTCTTTCTTTCAGCTTCTTTTCGTTGGCCTAAAACATGCCTTGTACCTTTTGGCTGGTCTGTCTCACGTTCTTCATCTTGATTTTGATCTTCACTTTAACGCCTTTTTAGTGTTCTCGTGATCGGTGCCAATTTGGGATCAGAAGATTCATGGGTCTTCGGATAGAGTTATAACTTCCGCATTGGACTTCAGCTTCTCTTGCTTCAAAAAGCGATGCTGTTCAGTTGCTGGTTCATCCCGCTTGATGCGAATATAAGCCCAGTACAGTGACAGCCTCAAAGAATGCTCAGGTGAACAGTGTCCGTAGAAAACTCTAGAATATCTGTTTCTACTTTCTTGAAACTTTCGACCTCTCCCTTTTTATCTTGAAGTACATAATGCATGCTGACGCATGCATTTGTTAAAAGACACCTGCTATCTTACTTCATTTA